CCAAGTTTTCCAATCGGCACCGGCAGTGGGGGAGGAAAAAGTACCAACAGGTATGTTTTTACTTCGATCATTACAATGGGCTTGGTAGAAAACTCCTCAGCTAGAATGGCCATTTTTCATGATTGCGGCACATCACAAAGAATCAAACCTCCCACAATATGCACATTCTATGTGAATACAGTCATGTGATTCACTCAAGTCTGAAATTTCAAAACACGATTTGTTTCAAGTGATCTAATGCCCATAATGAATCATCCAAATCGAATCCTAAATCACACGATTCTACCAACCAAGCTTAAAAGAGGACAGTAGTTTGAATGGTTGTGCACACAAAATGAGATATAGAGGGAGGGGGAAGGGAGATAGCTATGTCTAACCTTCAAACTAGTAACTACAATAGGGAATTAACAAAATTAAACAGGACTACATAACTTTCACTAAAATGACATTGATAGGAATCGGGTTATATTTCATTATAGTAGGCGCAGACGAAGGAATTAGGAATTATTTGTCATTTTGCTTTTCAAGGACTTAGTTATCATTTTAACTATTTATTTATTTTAAGGTTTGTGCTCTCCTTATATATATAAGGGATATGGTATTTGTTTTACCCGACTTTGATTATTATTGAATATTGACATTACTTCCTTATCAAATTCTTTCTCTTTTCTCATCTCTTCTTCTTCTCTTTTCATCTCTAATTTTTTTCCTTCCTAGTCTGCATCAATTTGGTGTCAGAGCTAATACAATCTACATCAATTTGATATCAGACTCATCCCCAAAAAATTCAGAAATTTCAGAATCACAGAATCACCCCCCAGAAGTTTCAAAATTACAAAAACATCCTCAAAAGATTCAAAAAATTACAGAATCACCCTAGAAGTTCTAATAAATTACAGAAATACCATCCAGAAGCACCAGAATTGCAGAAACGTCCCCAGCCATTACAGAAACATCACCCCAAAAGTTCTAAAAATTGCAAAAACACCCCAAAAAATTCCAAAATTTATAGAATCATCCTCTAAATTGTCAAGTATCCTCTTGGAGTGGTATCTAACACCGAGTACGATTTATCTTCGTTGAGAATTGGTGCTAGTATTAATATTTGTTGGAAAGTCAAAAAAAAAAAAAAATTTACCTAAACTTTCTTTTCTTTTTTTTTCACACACCATCTTCATAAATTAACTCGCCCAATTCTTTGTTAAACTCATTGTTGCTTGTATTACGTTTATTTGAGTCTCATCCCAAGAAGCTTGTCCTTGTGTGTGACCATTTGCATTAATTTATAATTTTTATTACTTGATTTAATTTTTAGTCTAATCAACATTTTACATTAGTCCAAATTTTATATCACATTCACTATAACCCTTCATGAGCTTTCAGAGTCCCATACTACACTAGAACAAAAATTTAAGACCCCCACCAATGATATGACCGGCACTAAACAATCAGTCGACTTGTTACATGAGGAAGTTAAAGGAATCAGGCAACAACTTTCTCAAGTTACTACTCAACTAGCTCAATTGACTAAATTTATTGAAAAACGACCAATAGAGTATAACCAGAGTGAGTCACCAGTTTCACCTAAGTTCAAACTGGCACACCATATTAGGCACCTGCCTCAAGGGAGCCGAGTTCAATGTCTAGATAGGAGGCCACCTGCTAATATCGTTTTCAGACGAAACATAGGTCGTAGGAATTTTCAGGAAGATCCCGCTGAGGTAGTCATATCTGACTATTTAGACGAGGGTGATATGGGTGGTTTCAGGGCTTCTTTGTCATTTTAACTATTTATTTATTTTAGAGTTTGTGCTCTCCTTATATGTATACGGGATATAGTATTTGTTTTAACAGATTTTGATTATTATTAAATATTGACATTACTTCCTAATTCCCGCCCTTCACACTGAGCCGAAGCTTTTGCCCAGCATATTCATGACTTGAATGTCGACATAAAACAAAAAATTACATTAAATAATGAGAATTATAAATTGGTTGCAGATGTTCACCGTAAGAATAAAGAATTTACTATGGGAGATTATGTCATGGTTCATGTGCGTTTTGAACGTTATCCTAAAAATTCTTTCAAAAAGTTACATACTCAAGCCAGTGGCCCTTTTCCTATTCTTCGTAAGCTTTGACCTAATGCATATCATCTTGACTTACCTTCGAATATGAGTATTAGTCCTATTTTCAATGCAGAGGACTTGTTTCCTTATCATGGTACTTTTAAGTCTCCTATGTTGCTAGCAGGTGTTCCTACTGGTGGAGTTGCTTCGTCATCAGCATCACCTACAGTTCCTATTCTTCCACCATTTTCATCACAGCTGTATGACCAGATTGCAAATGTACTTGACGATCAAATTGTGGGCTCTTTGAATGGAGGATATTGTCATTATCTTGTTCAGTGAAGAGATTGTCTAGAGACTGATGCTTCATGGATTACTGAGGAGGAGTTTCGTCAACTTGGTCCTAATCTTCTAGAGCATTATCATGATCGTATCTCTCCGGAAGTGCGTTTTTTTCAGATAGGAAAAAATGATAGGAATCGGGTTATATTTCGTTATAGCAGGTGTAGACGTAGAGATTAAGAATTATTTGTCATTTTACTTTTTAGGGACTTAGTTGTTATTTTGACTATTTATTTATTTTAGAGTTTGTGCTCTCCTTATATATATATAGGGGATATGATATTTGTTTTAGCAGACTATGATTATTATTGAAAATTGACATTACTTCCTTATCAAATTATCTCTCTTTTCTCATCTCTTCTTCTTCTCTTCTCTTCTCTTCTCACCCATAATTCTGTCCCTTCCTAGTCTACATCACATATAATAGTTGTCTGGCATCACATGTTCCAAAAAATACATAAGATAGTAGCATTATAACAAGAAGGCAAAGATTTGCATCAGATTCAACTGCCTTTAACTGCCACTGGTGACAATAGACTATAAAAAGGCAAGGCAGACCTTTTGATTTTCAGTTCTTTTGGTGGGTAAACAAATGATCCAATGCCCCATAATGAATCATCCAAATCGAATCCTAAATCACACAATCCTATCAACCACGCTTAAAAGAGAACAATGGTTTACAAGGTAAGAGAGAGAGAGAGAGATGTATCTTCAAACTAATAACTACACGGGGANGAGTTGCTTCGTCATCAGCATCACCTACAGTTCCTATTCTTCCACCATTTTCATCACAGCTGTATGACCAGATTGCAAATGTACTTGACGATCAAATTGTGGGCTCTTTGAATGGAGGATATTGTCATTATCTTGTTCAGTGAAGAGATTGTCTAGAGACTGATGCTTCATGGATTACTGAGGAGGAGTTTCGTCAACTTGGCCCTAATCTTCTAGAGCATTATCATGATCGTATCTCTCCGGAAGTGCGTTCNACATAGGTCGTAGGAATTTTCAGGAAGATCCCGCTGAGGTAGTCATATCTGACTATTTAGACGAGGGTGATATGGGTGGTTTCAGGGCTTCTTTGTCATTTTAACTATTTATTTATTTTAGAGTTTGTGCTCTCCTTATATGTATACGGGATATAGTATTTGTTTTAACAGATTTTGATTATTATTAAATATTGACATTACTTCCTAATTCCCGCCCTTCACACTGAGCCGAAGCTTTTGCCCAGCATATTCATGACTTGAATGTCGACATAAAACAAAAAATTACATTAAATAATGAGAATTATAAATTGGTTGCAGATGTTCACCGTAAGAATAAAGAATTTACTATGGGAGATTATGTCATGGTTCATGTGCGTTTTGAACGTTATCCTAAAAATTCTTTCAAAAAGTTACATACTCAAGCCAGTGGCCCTTTTCCTATTCTTCGTAAGCTTTGACCTAATGCATATCATCTTGACTTACCTTCGAATATGAGTATTAGTCCTATTTTCAATGCAGAGGACTTGTTTCCTTATCATGGTACTTTTAAGTCTCCTATGTTGCTAGCAGGTGTTCCTACTGGTGGAGTTGCTTCGTCATCAGCATCACCTACAGTTCCTATTCTTCCACCATTTTCATCACAGCTGTATGACCAGATTGCAAATGTACTTGACGATCAAATTGTGGGCTCTTTGAATGGAGGATATTGTCATTATCTTGTTCAGTGAAGAGATTGTCTAGAGACTGATGCTTCATGGATTACTGAGGAGGAGTTTCGTCAACTTGGTCCTAATCTTCTAGAGCATTATCATGATCGTATCTCTCCGGAAGTGCGTTTTTTTCAGATAGGAAAAAATGATAGGAATCGGGTTATATTTCGTTATAGCAGGTGTAGACGTAGAGATTAAGAATTATTTGTCATTTTACTTTTTAGGGACTTAGTTGTTATTTTGACTATTTATTTATTTTAGAGTTTGTGCTCTCCTTATATATATATAGGGGATATGATATTTGTTTTAGCAGACTATGATTATTATTGAAAATTGACATTACTTCCTTATCAAATTATCTCTCTTTTCTCATCTCTTCTTCTTCTCTTCTCTTCTCTTCTCACCCATAATTCTGTCCCTTCCTAGTCTACATCACATATAATAGTTGTCTGGCATCACATGTTCCAAAAAATACATAAGATAGTAGCATTATAACAAGAAGGCAAAGATTTGCATCAGATTCAACTGCCTTTAACTGCCACTGGTGACAACAGACTATAAAAAGGCAAGGCAGACCTTTTGATTTTCAGTTCTTTTGGTGGGTAAACAAATGATCCAATGCCCCATAATGAATCATCCAAATCGAATCCTAAATCACACAATCCTATCAACCACGCTTAAAAGAGAACAATGGTTTACAAGGTAAGAGAGAGAGAGAGAGATGTATCTTCAAACTAATAACTACACGGGGAAAGAATAAAATTAAACACAACTGCATAGCTTTTTACTAAAAGCACATATAATAGTCGTCTGTCATCACACTTTTGAAAAAATACAAAGCACACAGTAGCATTGTAACAGCAAGCTAAAGATTTGCCTCAAATTCAACTGCCACAATTGACAATAGACTATAAAAAGGGAAGGCAGAACTTTTGCTTTTCAGTTTTTTTTGGTGGGCAAACAGAATAGTTTCTTTAGTTTTTATATATTTGACGGATAAGACAAGCAAACAACTACCAGCAAGGATGCAGTGTAACAGCGAATAAGAAGATATCCCATGATTTTTTCATACTCCAGACTCCAGACATAAGAACAGAAGAGTTTTGTGCTACTTACATTCGCAGGATTCATGGAAGGTCCAGTATAACTGGAGCCTGCAACTACTAAAGCTACAGTTGACATGGAAAGCAACCAATTCTTCAGAAGGGGGCTTCTAGGACCTCTAAGAATAATGAGGAGTACGGCAAAGGTAATCGTAAAGGTCAATACTCCCTCAGCAATGGCCCCAGTATGCAAGTCAACTTTTAAGGAAGGTCCCCCGAGCATGTGTTTATATTGCAGTGGCATCACTTCCATGATTGCCAGTGCACCACCTACTGCTCCAGCTGCCTGTCATGTAGACATGTAGACAAAACATTGTTTAAATTATTTGTAAAACATACTAAACAACACTATTTTGCTCTACAAGTAACCTGGCTTCAAATGAGACATAGGTTCCAATAAATGCAGTACAAATTATGTTTTGAGTTATTTCCGTTCAGGTCAATCTCTTCTATTCATAAGCCATTCCTTCCATGTTATGAAATCTCAGGCTTTCCATTAAGGATACAAGCATTCATGCCATGAAATTAGATATTTTTGGAATGTAAACATTGCATAGCTCTCATTGAAGGGTCTAGAAAAAGGAAATTATGACACCTGACGTCTAATCACCTATGTGATTCAAAAAGCCGGTTACTCTTAAATTGATCACTGAAGGTCTTGAATACAATGTTACCTAAATAATGGGTTGATTTGATACAAGAGAAGGGTATGGGAACTCAGTACCATCGTTTCTATGACGTGTAGTATAATGGAAGTAGATTTAGTTGGTACGCTATTTTAGCTCACAGTTCGTTTAATAACTCTTACTCGGATCACTTTCATTGGTGTTTGGGAATTTAAGTCTTCACACTAAATTACCATGATTGGGATCATGTGACCCAGTATGTTGAACGCCCAAAGTATCCACAATCCCAGCATCTATGCTTGAACATTCTAAGTGGTCAATAGTTGTTTTTGGATTAATTTTTAAAATATTCTGATGATGAACTCCATACAAGAAATACCCAACAAAAAAACAAACTTAGATGTTTACTTAGAACATCTCTAATAGGCTCTTTATTCCCACTCAATTCTTTATTTTAGGGAGTCAATTCATAAAAATCAAATTTTAACCGTACAAGTTAAAATAGAGATATCAATTTGACACACCATTTTAAGAGTCAAACTCAATCTTTGAGTGTCTTTTTTTATTAAAGAGAAATCACACTTTGCACCCTAAAAGATTTGTAAATTCTTAAACTAATACCCTAATGATTAAAATTTTCAAATTACACCCTCAATCAAATATATATATATATATATAGCAATGTGGTCTATTTTAATAAAATGAGTATGAAATTTTCATGTAAAATAGTTAAGTTTGAGTAATATACAATAAATTGAGTATAGAAATTGAAAATATAAAAACTATGACACACAAAAAATTGTCGGAAAAGCAACATATTTGTTATTCTTGGCCAAGTTATTAACTTTGTGTGTAATTAAGAGTGTAATTTTAAATTTTTAATCATTCAAGGTACAAATTGAAAATCTTAACAAAATTTATGGTGCAAATTGTCATTCACCCTTTATTAAATGCTTCCAATAGACGATTGGAAGTGCTCTTGTATACCTTTGAAATGAAAAATACATAACTAAACTCTACAAAGAGCCATGGTGATGGCTCCAAGAACCTCGTTAAGTCGAATTCATCTCAGGGTGCAAAATGTAGAATTGGTAGGTCGACCTTAATAAGTGTACTTACAGTTCATGCTTTGCTTTAAAATTACGGATGGGAAAGGGAAAAGGGAAAAGGGAAAAGAGAAAGGGAAAAGAAAAGGGGATTTTTGAAGTACACAAGTTCGAAGTCAATCGCAATCTACGTTACACGCCAAAAGAAATAGAGGTCCGGATATAACAAACCTGAGCAGGAAAACGGACGGCGGCGGAGATCAGAGAGTCGGCTCCCACGCCTGCGGCATAAAAAGCGGCAGTGGCAGTGGGATTGAAGCTGGCCCCACCAAGAGCGTCCCCAATAATGCCGAAAATGAAAAGGAGAACGAAGACGAGGACTGTCGTGATAAGGAGGGTTGACATCCCTTGGACGCCGATAGCAGAAGCTATAACGGAGGTCGACACCCCCAGAGTCGAAGCGCAGAACACCCACATGAATGTCAACACAGCATCAGCGACGGCGCTCTTGATCGCACCCATCCTCTCTCTCGCTCGGCTTCTGTCTTCGTGCTTTGGATATATCAACCAGCAAGTCGCCCGTGTTTCAATTATATATCTACCTGTGGCTGACGAAAGCGAGACCCCCAATCGCGCGGTAAAAGGTGAGTGATTCACCTACCCTCCGACTCACCTGTCAGTGTCACCAAGCGAGAGAATTATTGGCGTAAAAAGAATAAAGGAATCGTGTACGCTTGTTTCCCACGCTGCATGCCTATCCAAATCCCACCCGCACTAAGGAGTGAAGGGTATCACGGCTATCAAATTCTTGTTTCTGTTGTTCAAAATAAGGGGGAAAAAAGTTAAGATCATCTCCGATGTATTTTTTATTTTATACAGATTTTTTTTTTAAATAGTGAGTAAAATATATTAGATAACTTCAATGACTCTCAATTCCAATAGAAAAATAATTTTATAGTCTATAACATTTATTTACACTCAAAAATAATAAAATTTGGGAGGGACACTTGGAAGAGATTCAAGAGTCATTAGAGATTATATGAGAGTTCATACTTGATAGAGCAGTTAAGGAAGTACGACTCTGAAAATTTTGAAAAAAGAGAAGACATGATATCATAAGTCGTGAGTTGGAGTCAATTCAGCGCATGTCTGGACGTCTTGAGGAAAAGGCAATGATTACTTTCATGGCTGAAAAAGATAGCTTCGGCTGATGAATGTCATCTCTATAAATAACCAAGGTAAGGCTATAGAGAAAGAATCCTTGATCAAACATAACAAATTCTACACAGAGTCAGCCTCCCTTCTATTCACTTGTTTTTTTACTTTTGAGCAACTTTAATCTTTCTAGTATTCTGTCACTTCGATGATCTTTACTTCTTTCATTTAATGTTAAGTACAGTAGTCATTTCATCTTTTAAACTTAGTTTATCTATTGCTTTATATTTCATTATTTCTTTCTACATTCCAGTCTATTATGCTGTTAGTTGAAAATTTATTTAAAATTTGATGATGTACAAATTGGTCTCGTACAAGATCAACAGTTGAGTATATGAAGAGATGCAATTAATGAGCAATAAATAAAATAATCAATGACAAAACAGTAAATAAGAGCAAACACATAGTATATAGTGGTTTGGTCTGGGTGACCTACTCCACTCTCGAAAAACGATAGCAGTGGTCAAAGGTCTTTATTGATGAATAAAGTGACACAGAGAGTTATAGTAGCAGGGAGAAAGAAAACAAGTGTGTAGAGAGGCAAAACTCAAGGTGTAGTATATTTGGGAAAGATGTACTGAGATGTAGAGATGTGTCTCTCCATGTGAAGAAAGCTTACAATATATAGGTTTGGTAAGGAGGTGACGTGAGAGAGAGAACACTACTTTTTTGGTAAGTAAAATTACGGTAGGATTTGATCTTCAGCTCAGTTAATTTATCAGGTTTGACCCAGTTGATTTTGGGCTCGTCATTTGTCCCCTATGCCCTAAGCCTCCAACTGTTTGCAAGAAGAAGGGGTTGAGGGCATGAGCTTCTTTTTCAGTTGAGTAAGTGGGAGTTTTCTTACTCCCCATGATGTCTTTTCATTTTTAGGGACGCTCTGCTGAATCCATTGACATCGGATATTTTTTGCATTTTTCGTCATTCCTCTTTTTGGGTCTTCGCCTATAAATAAAGGTCTTCAATCTCTACTCCTCATTTCTCCTTCCATTTCCTTTGAGGCTTCCCTTAGAAGTCATCCTTCAAAGGCTTCTCCAAGAAGCCATCTTCCTTTATTCAAAGGCTTCTCCTAGAAGCTACTATTCCCCAACCCATTTCTCTCCCTTAGTCTTCTCTTTCTCAAATCACAACAAATCCATAGAGGCTAGGAGCTCAAAGAAGGTTGGCACCATTGGCGAGATGACGGAAAGCCCATGGACAGNATTAATGAGCAATAAATAAAATAATCAATGACAAAACAGTAAATAAGAGCAAACACAAAGTATATAGTGGTTTGGTCTGGGTGACCTACTCCACTCTCGAAAAACGATAACAGTGGCCAAAGCTCTTTATTGATGAATAAAGTGACACAGAGAGTTATAGTAGCAGGGAGAAAGAAAACAAGTGTGTAGAGAGGCAAAACTCAAGGTGTAGTATATTTGGGAAAGATGTACTGAGATGTAGAGATGTGTCTCTCCATGTGAAGAAAGCTTACAATATATAGGTTTGGTAAGGAGGTGACGTGAGAGAGAGAACACTACTTTTTTGGTAAGTAAAATTACGGTAGGATTTGATCTTCAGCTCAGTTAATTTATCAGGTTTGACCTAGTTGATTTTGGGCTCGTCATTTGTCCCCTATGCCCTAAGCCTCCAACTGTTTGCAAGAAGAAGGGGTTGAGGGCATGAGCTTCTTTTTCAGTTGAGTAAGTGGGAGTTTTCTTGCTCCCCATGATGTCTTTTCATTTTTAGGGACGCTCTGCTGAATCCATTGACATCGGATATTTTTTGCATTTTTCGTCATTCCTCTTTTTGGGTCTTCGCCTATAAATAAAGGTCTTCAATCTCTACTCCTCATTTCTCCTTCCATTTCCTTTGAGGCTTCCCTTAGAAGTCATCCTTCAAAGGCTTCTCCAAGAAGCCATCTTCCTTTATTCAAAGGCTTCTCCTAGAAGCTACTATTCCCCAACCCATTTCTCTCCCTTAGTCTTCTCTTTCTCAAATCACAACAAATCCATAGAGGCTAGGAGCTCAAAGAAGGTTGGCACCATTGGCGAGATGACGGAAAGCCCATGGACAGGCGACGCTGGTCCAGGCAGATCGCTAGGCGTAGGAAAGCCCATGGGGTTGCTCCAGTGGTGCTACGAGTGGCGCCCAAGTGGAAGGCCATGGCGCGGGGCCGGTGTCTTGCTTTGACTGGGCGTAGGGTCTGCTGGGTTAGGTGGAGGCTTTGGTCATTTTGGCATTGGGTCTATGGGATCAGGATGTCCCTTTGGCCATTTGGGCGTCGGTGGTGCAACGAAGAGTGGGCGAGATGAAGAGAAGGGAGAGACAGATGAGCCCATCCCCATGGGCGGTGCCTTCTCAGATGCTGCTGGCTTGGGCTCTCCTCCAGGCAGTAGTGTTGGTGAGGTCTCGGTAGATGGTAGTGGACCTGTATTGGGCGGCAATAAAGGGTGTGTGGGTGACGCCCGAGGCGTGACTCAATTGCAAGGTGGCGCCTCAGAGGAGACAAGTTGTGATTAACCTTAATTAAGGCATAATTTAATAGGTAAATTGTGTTAGTTGAATAAAGTTAAACTAGTCAAAATAAATCAAATTAGAATTAGTGTGTGAAAAAAAGATAATGCATTAATTGTTGTTCTTTTCAGGATTTTGT